TTTTTGCATCATTAAATTTGTTAATTTGGATTTACGTTTACTAGTTTTTTTTCAGTCCTAATTTTTTCTGGCAAATTGTTGTAGTTTTGTACACAGCTGCTTTTCACAGATGGAAGTCCAAAACACCAAAACTAGTTGAATTCGAAATGGTAGGGCGTAGTTTAGTCTAGCTTTTTCTGTTTTGTTAATGATGAGGTAGGCAAAGGTGGCTGGGGATTGTTTAATGAGGTTTCTGATGGGTTTGAGATCAAGGTTGATGTAGTGTAGAGGTCCAAGGAGTGGTGTCTGTAATGAAGTCCAAACATTTGCTTGTTGATTCTGTTTTGCACTTTCTGGAGGGGGTTCAGTTGACTATTTGTAGCGGTGCCTCGTATCAGGCTCATGTAGGAAAGGTTGGATTGGACCAGGCCATGATAAATAGACTTCTGGCTTCTTTGTGTAGTATGTTTCTGAGTCTATATAGGATACCACTGATGAAACTGATTTTTTGAACTTTGAAAAAAATATTGAATCTGTCAACAAAAGCAAGGAAGAGTTCGCAGTTATGTTCCGTTTTTTGTGTTTGTGCCAGGGCGTGTAAATTAATCAGACTTTTTTTATTGATTTTTTTTTAAATTCTTAATCCTTATGAATATAAGTTCCAACACAATCACAAGTTCAAATATTTTACAAACTCACATCAAATCATCAAATACTATGTACGTAATAAAAAAGAATCCCCACTTACAAATAAAAATATGTAAAAGGCATTTTTCAGTCCAATGGAATCTGCTCCTCAACTACCTGCGAGAAAAGTAGAGAAAGAGATAGGAAGTTATCACTCAGCATCATCAAGATAGCTATAGCCACAGTTGGAAAAAATCCCATAAAAGCTAAACTTTTCAAGGCACCAATGATAGTGAATTTTTCATAGCTTTGATTTTTTACTAGTTCTTTACCAACTTGACCAGTGAACAAGTATCGTTCTCAGTGCGGTGTCTCCTTTACCTACTTTCATTTAGAACATACGACACCAATAGACATGGCAGTAGTGCCATTGTGCAACGGCAACGCTGGTCTCAAGCAAAGCACTGAACCTTTTTTCAGGTTTAATTGTATAATTTTGAGCACTCTTAACAAATTTTGCGTGTTTTCATTATTTTGGTAAGCAAAAGTCCTTTCAGCGACCAAACTGAGAGATTTAGCCAAACAAATGAACTTTTCGGACAAAGGTTTCTACTTTGATGAGTTACTCCCTAGCCATATCAAAGAGTTAAATCAATAATTTTGTTTAGGGTCCATTTCTATTGGAGGAACACCTTCTAGCGTCTGAAAATCAGTGAGAGATATAGCACGGGTGATGGTATATGCCCACTTGTAGCTTTTTCAAATCAGAAGAGCGGGCTGAAAAGCAAGCTCTACGCTGTGAGCACACACGGCCACCCCTTCTCACCGGCTCAGCCCTTGGCCCTTTCCTCGTAGCCCCTTCCTCGGGCAGAGTACACCCCTTACCTTGACACACATGACGCGGAACTGTTCGTCGGTCTGCCCCGGCTGGCGCTCGGGCGGCGCGAGGCCCCTTCGCGTCAACTCGAGGACGGCCTCCCCGAGGTCGAACAGGATCACGGGGTCTAGCTTGTGGCGCCCGATCAGACCCACCAAGTACTCGACGTAGTGCTGCCTGCGTGCCGGAACCAAATTGATCTTTACACAACCACCCGTCTCACTCTACCGTAAGGCCCACCCGTCGAGACCTTTGCGCCAACAGTGTTGAGAGTGCCGATTCCCGCCAATCATGTGTGAAACCTACTGTCCCGGGTCAGATATCACCTTAGGGTCAGAGGGAGGCTGCCAGTGGGGGAGGGGGCCGTGGCTCAGCGAGCGGTGGGCTGGCGAAGCGGTTAAAGAGAGCAGAGTCGTGCAGCGAGCGATCATCGGATGCCTCCATGGTCGCTCGCTGCAGGGCTCAGGGCTCTGCTGCGAGCTCCCTCTGCTGTTCGCACTCGTGCACTAGTTTACCTGCACGAGCGCCTGCCGGTATACCGACGGCGGCGTGCCGTACGGGTTCGGGGGCAGCCGCTTGTCGCTGCGACGGACCACGGTCTCCAGGTCGTCGGCCGTGAGGATGGCCAGCGTGTCCAACTCGCGGCGTCGGACTTCCCTAGCTAACAACTCGATATAGTGCGACCTGCCAACACAGACAAGCAGGGGATGCATGGCGGGACGGGTCCAGCACTTTGCCCGGCGCCGACTGGCGTCGATGTTTGAGTCATTCTCAACACTGCTGGACGCGAGTGCCTCAAGGGTACCCCTCCACCCCCACCCCGCAGCCCGGCGGGCAGCCCTTACCTGCACAGCCCCGCGTGCCCCGGAGGCGCCTCCACGCCGCACACCGCGTCGATCAGGCCCTCGGGGGTCTCACGCTGCAGCTGCACGGGGCACTTCATGGGCCTGGTCTGACCCGGGGCCGCCGTCCCGGTCGCGGTCTCGGCCGCGGCCTCAGACCTGCCGCTCCCCTCGGCCTTGGGAGCCGTCGGGGCCTCCGCCACGGCCTCCGCGTTGGCATCGGCCTTGGCACCTTCCACGACCCCCTCTTTGGCGCCTTCCCCGGAGCCCTCCGTCATCCAAACGGGGAGTTCTTCGTCAAACTCGACACCGTTATCCTGTGGAACGAGTGACAGTGTGACACGTTGAAGAGAGAAATGCGTTATGTACAGATATTTTGTGAAGTCG